TTTGCTCAGCTAGGCTTGATAATTAGGAAGTATTCATCAATTTATAAATTGCCCATCTCTTATCTCATTAATTTGTTCATTCAACAAACATTTATTAATGGTTACTATATACTTGCTATGCCGACTCTAAAGTCTCTAATGGGAAAAAGAAAAACTTATAAATGGTACATAAACACATGGATTCTGCTTACTGCTAGAATGAATAAACTTCTTTTAGCTAAATGTTCATGGACAGGTTAGAGATCCAACAATAATAAATAAAACTTCTCTCTTTAGGAGGGAAATTAAAGAAATGATAAGCATTTAGGACTGAGTAAGAGCGGAGAACTGGATTTGACGATAGAGAGAGAGAAAAAAAAAAGACAAACAGACCTGTCTAGAAACATTTTAAGTGTCGAATTTACTTAGAAAGCTTCTTTTTCACCCCAAGAACTGCATACATCAGTATAAGAGACTTCCCTTTGTCTACCCTTTTTATTTGTAAGTAAATATAGCTTTGGCTCTAGAGTTTATCTCATGCCACAGATGGAGTAAAGTGAGACTGTTTCAGGAAATGCTGATTCTGAGGTTTGAGACATACCCAAGTGTAGTTCTTGAAATGAGCAAGCTCCTGTTGGTTAGGCAGGGCAGAAACTTCTAACCCTGAGAGTTTAGCATTGAAATGGCCAAGAGTCTATTTTTGTTGCCTCCTCGTTCTAAACAAATAATTGTTTCAAGCCCAGGAAGATATTTAAAACTGATTTGCCTTGTGTTAGAGATTTACAGTGCTATTTTGAACATTCATGGAAATAAGAGGGAAAGTATAAGTAAATAGGTTTCCTATAGTCTACCTGTTTTGGTATCCCCATGTCACAAAGGCTGTTTTTAAAGAAAAATTTGTTGAAAAATATGCCTTGTATCTAAATTATTAGTATCTATAGTTCTGGTTCTCTTTTTGTCGTTCTTTTTTAATTCTGTGAATGCTAACGACTCAAGAAACAAAGCTTACTTTGAAATGAAACCTTTTGCCACAAAGCAACACATCTGAAATGGGAAACAAATAGTTCTTGCTCTGTTGCCACCGTACCCATATTAATTTTATTTTCTTTATTGTTAGCTGGCACTTGTAACCATGGGCAAATCATTTTTTGAATTTTGCTATCTGCTGTACCTAGAGGGTAGACTAGGTGCCTTTTTTAAGGTCTTTCCAGATTTGGGATTTAGTGTCAATAATCTTCAGACCATATATACATGATCAGTACTCCAGAAACCTGTGTCCCTTAGAGGGCTGATAATGTGCTGCCTGGCTGACCAAGCCCGCCACACCCATACTGAAAGGAAGGAACCTTCTTAAAGGGGCGGGGCCTCAGCCCTTCTCAGTTCAGCTGACCTTTGCTCTTTAGGTAGCAGGCTCTTTGCTTGGAGTGATTACTGGTTGTCCATTTAACCATTTCAAATAAAGAACCATATAGAAGGAATGACAGCATATTTTAACTTGAACTAAATTACCAGAAGTTTAAGTAGCCTTGTTGTAATTGGTTTTTGTTTTAATTTTAAAGAATGTTTATTAAAGCTAGGGACAGAAACAAGGAAGGGCCTAGAACAACAGAAGAAGGACTAGGTGGGGAAATGAGCCTAGGCTGAGCTGCTTTAACTCCTAAGAAATTAAGGAAAAAGGGGTCTGGGGGACAGGTTCAGGAGGTTTGCCTGGAAGAACTGTGTTGACCATTGGAGTCCCCTGGTTGCCTCCTGGAGTCCCTTAGAGTTTAGGAGATGCAAACCTGGGGGAAGCACGGGGAGGTGGCAGAGGAAGGGACGGGGGAGGACATGCTCCCTTGAGGGAGCGCACACTGCAATTGGTGGTTTTTAATCTCATACAAATACTAACGAAACTATGAGTGGCCCTAATTTGTGAAGGTGTGTTCTGAAAAGTTGTAAATTAATTCACAGGAACAATATTAAAGGGTGGTTAAGTGTGTTGTAGTCCAGCCACCTGTTTAGCTCAGAATGTTGTTGTTTAATACTATTTTTTGGAGGACAAATAGCAGCTGATAGTACTGTTAAATTAGTTTAGAGGAACTATATTAACTTGAATCATAAATGTCTTAAGTGAAGATTTTCTGACATGGTACAATGCTAATTAAACACAGTTGAAAAAAGACTTCAACACTAGTATTTACAAAATGTAAAAAGGGAATATTTGAGTAAGTTTAGTGTGGTATATAGGTAGATGTCAGCAGGAATTCTAAAGTTACTAGCCACTAGACTGATCCCTTCATCTCCTGCCTTCATATGCAGGGAGGGGCACATGTGTTCGAAAGAGTAAAAGACAGAAATGATTCCACTGAGCCCACTGGAGTGTATTCGCCTCCTTTAGTGTTTCACCTCCTTTTTACTGAGATTCTTGTAGACTTCTCTCTCACCAGCTCACTATATCAGCCCCTGCCGCGATGACCCTATTCTTCGAGTATTACTCTCGTCCTCACCAAGAAATAAAAATAAAAAATAAAAATAAATTGTTGTCCATGCTTGGGGGTATTTGAAACACCTGGTTTTTGTGAGGCTGGTTCTCTCATTCAGTTTGCCCATAGCAGTATAGCATCCTGACTTTCCCTCTATGCCATACTCACAAGTGTTCATTTTCTGTCTTTCCTTCCATGGTATAAGCTCCATGAGGTCAGAGACTGTACCGGTCTCTATTTAGTACTAGGCCTAATGATGTATAGGTAATAAATAAATACTTATGAAATAAATTTTTTTTTCTGTCATCCAATGAGACAGCTCTTTAGGTTCTGTTATTGACCCTGTCCTACTTTTTACTTGCTTTTTTCATTGATATTGATGCCTTTTTTTACTATTAAACTGTATATACAGTACCCATTGTTTTCATTGTGACTAGTTTTTCTGTATTTCAACCCCTCTTCTTTGTTCCAAGTTTACTATAAAAAGGTGTTCACAATTTATAAGTGGAAAAGTAGATTACCAAATGGCCTATTAAGTAGTTAAATTGGAACAGTAGGGCCACAACTGATACTTACCTACTTCCTCTTGCTTATTATTCAGGTTTTGTTGGTCTCTTGTAAAGATACACTTTCCCTGCCTTCAGTTTCTGTTCCTCCATTCCATTCTTAATGCTATGACCAAAGCAATCTGCTTAAATCAATGGTCTGATCGGGTAATGGTTTTCTCTTGCTCTATAGAATAAAATTTAGGAATTGGCCATTTTTGTTGTTGTTGTGAGAGGTCAAGGAGCGCACTTCAGCTCAGAAAAACTGTATGTTTAGGACTACCAGAAATGGGACCAGACTGCTCAAGTAGGTGTTTCGTTCCCCATCACTGGTCAGGATATGGAAGGATAGTAAGCATTTCTCAGCTGGGATGGGTTATTGGAGATTTTTGAAGCTTAAGTACTCCAGGCCATTGATAATATCTTAAACTGCTTAGGTTGTCCACAATCTGGCCCAGATACATTGTTAATGATTAGGGTGTTTTACTCATCCCCCACTGCAACTTGCATGTATGTGTAGGTGCTAAGCATACATTTATTCGGTGAATAAAAAGTCTGCTTCTGGGAATTTTCTTTGGGGGGGATGAGCTCAGGTTCTTTGTTTTCACTTCAGACTTGATTTTCTGATGTGGGAGTATCAGATCTAGATTCAGAGTACTGGGATCCAGTCTTGGTCCTCTGCATGTGTGATCTTATTTATTGTCTCTGAGCCTACTTTTCATCTGTAGGCTCATCTGTAAAATTTAATCTGTAAAATCTAATTTCATCTGTAAAATTAGAATGACAGTTACTGTAAAGTAAGTCATTTTAAGGACTAAATGCATGTGAAAAATATTTTATAACCTGAGAATGCTTTACAAATGGTAGAAATTAAAAATTGGTTGCTTTTTGTTTAATATATTAATATATATTGTTAATATATAGGTATGTCACTACTATTGCACTTTCACTTTATAATTAGGCTTATTTTTTAGCCTAGCAAAGGAAAAATAGTTGCTTTCTCTTAATAAGTAACACATTTCCTCAGCTCCTCCAGGTAAAATTTCTCTTATATTATTGAATTCTTGATATTTTAATTCCAAACTACTATTGTCTGTGGATGTCTTGTCTTAGTTTTTGTATCAGACTTAGACAGAGATTCAAAAAGAACCAATGGCAAAATTAAATTATATTTTGTTTTGTTTTTACCAAACTTACCACATTTGGTAGAGATTTTCTTAAATATTTTGGTGCTTATGTTTTTATTGTTATTTTTAGGTGACAAAATCAGTAAACAGTTAGCAAAAGGATTTTTTTTTTTTTTTTTTTAATCCTCATCCGAGGACATTTTTCCATTTTTTGTACAGATAGAGTAGGAGGGAGAGAGAGGAAGAGAGAGAGAGGGAAACATCGATGTGAAAGGGACACATCGAGTGGCTGCCACCCGCACGACCAACCAGGGCCGGGGACAAACTGCAACTGAGGTACATGCCCTTAGGGGGAACCGAACCCGGGTCTCTCCGGACCGCAGGCAGACGCTCTAACCGCTGAGCCAAACCGGCCAGGGCAGCAAAAGGATTTTAATGAAAGTGTTACACACTTTCTTTATTCTTCTTTACCTTTAGTCCATACACACTTACACATTGTATATGTCATAGTTATAATTTTATATTACGTATAAATGCTATAATTACGCATGTTGATGCTGTTTCCTAGATTGCATATGACGGCATTAGAGACATCACTAATCTGTTGTACTTCATAGAGATCTCTTTCTGAGTTCAAGATAAGTGGGTGCATGAAATACTGCTTTGTAAAGTAGTATCTAATAAGAGCAATCAGCTGTTAAGAAAGGGCAAGTTTAAATATAAGAAGGGAAATAGAGATGTCTCACTGACCAAGCTACCTTTACAAGTAAGATGTATTAACAAATCCGATTTTCACAAGATAAGGACTCTACTTTGGAAAAGAAAATCATTGATACTTGTTTCCGCTCAATATAGTAAGTCTTTGTTCTTTCTCCCCCTTTAACCAGGTCAGTATATGTTTTGTGCCCTATTCTTTTATTACAAAAAAAAGAAGATATACTGCAGTGAATGAAGATTCCTCTGCATTTTAGCACTGCTTTTTCTACTGTAGTTGGCTTTTGAATGAGGATGACAATGGAAGAGATGAAGAATGAAGCTGAGACCACTTCCATGGTTTCTATGCCCCTCTATGCAGTCATGTATCCTGTGTTTAATGAGGTAAGTCAGTAAATGTTTTCTCTCAGGGTCTCTGCAGTTCCTTATGCCTACTCCATTTCTTCATTTGTTTGTTTCTTCATATAACAAATAATTTACATAAATGAACTCCATCTGTGTGTTAGGAATCGTGCCAGGACTGGACATAAAACAGTTGGGGAAAACCCCAGACATATTGCTCCCTCTCTGGAGGTTTCACTGCAGTGGCAGAGATAGACATTAAACAGAAGAATACAAATAATTAGATAAATGAAAAATTGTGGTAAGTGCCACGAAGTTAAAAAAAGTATCAGATAGGACCTGTTTTAGAGGTCAGGACAGGCCTCACTGAAGGAGAGACAACATGTTAAGATCTGAAAGGGATAAATAAGGGTTAGACAATTGAAGAGTTGGGGAAAAGTACATTTTAGATAGCTAGAGGCGCAGGCACAAAATACCCTAATGAGTTACCATCAGTGGCGACAAAGATTCTTACTGTTAAAATGGAACATACCAGTGCTTTGTATTTAGAGCTGTAGTTGCTTTTTTTATTTGAGGAATATTTTAGGACTTAATAATATCAACACATTTTTAGTTTTTCTTCTAAATTAACATTAATATGCTAAGTTATGTAGAGAATTCTAGAGCTGTGCAAATTTCTTAAATATAATCTAATTACTCTCTTTTAATAGTGAACTAAGGTCTTGATTTGTGAAATTATTTTTCTGAAATTACCTATGACTGAAATCTAGGACTCCAAATTTAATTGCTTCAGGCTTTTTGTCTATTTAATTAGTTGTGGGTTTTTTGGTTTTTTTTTGAGGGGGGGCTGTTATTAATCTAATTAGTTATAGAGCTGTCGATGCCTTATTGTTGCTACTATAGCCTGGAAGCCCTTATCACTTCCAACAGCTTTTCATCTCTTTTTCTAAAATTTTTATATTACATTAAGATTGTGGGTTTTGAAACCATTTTCCCCACATTATTAGATTTAATAATAATGTATTTGACGTATTTTAGGATCTAATATCTTGGGGCCAATAGAGAGTGATTCATCTTCTTCAACTTGAAATCCAGAGACTTAGTTTCCATTTCAGACGAATATTTTGAACTTCAAACACTGCCTACTAAATAGTGTTAGGCTCGGTGACCACAGAAGACAATGCAAAACAGCGGCTTGGGTAAAATTTATTTCTGTTACATAAAATATTCTAAAGATAAGCGGACTGAGGCTAGTATTTTGGCACAATATTGTCAGAACCTCAGGTTCCTGTCTTCTGTTCCATCATCTCAGTGTTCACCTTTCATTGTCAAGATCACTTCAGCATGTGGATGGCTGCTGAGGCTCATCATGTCCTCAGTTGTTTCCTGGAAGGGGCAAAAAATGAGAGGGGGTCCCAGGGTGTTATTTCCGGCTGATTCCACTTTTTTTTTTTTTTAACTTACCATTTAGAGAGAGAGGAATGGAAAGGGAGGGAGAGAAAGAAACCTAGAAACCTCAATACGAGAGTGAAAGGTCACTCAGCTGCCTCCTACACTCCTGCTACCAGGGATGGAGCCCACAACAACAGGGGAATCGAACCCGTGACCTTTTGGTGCTTGGGATAGGGATAATGCCTAAACAACTGAGCCACACAGACGACCAGGGCTGATTCCACTTTCTTAACAACCTTTTTGAATATTCTATACAAGACTGCCATTTACATTTCATTGACAGAAATGGAGTCTATGACCACATCTTGCTGCAAAAGAGGTTGGGAAATGTAGAAGTTTGCTACTAAAGAGGAAGAAGGTAGACGGCATCTTTTGAAAAACCTGTCTCTATTACATTGCTACCATGCTAACTTCGGAGGCACTCTTTCAAGGCTGGTTAGACCCATCTCTGATCTCTGGCAGTTGTAGCAGACGCTCTAGTAATTAATTCCACCATTTTCTTCTAGTATTTGACCCGTTTGTTGCAAGACTAGAGTTATTGTTAGAAGCAAGTGCTTCACTTCTGTTCAATAATATTTACTAAATGCCAACCATTTATTTGCTGAGTGTTCTGCTAGGGTCTGGAGATGTGGAGGAAGAAAAAAAAAAAAGGCAACATCCTTCTTTTATAAGAATCATAGGGAACACAGACACTTAAAGAAATGAATTATTTAATGATCCTTGTACCGGGTATGAAGTAAAGAGACAGTCCCTGAAAGCTTGTGAGTAGTCTGTCTTGACAGTTACTCTTTGGACTTCTCAGGTATTTTAAGAACCATTATGACAGTTCCTTCCAGTGTTCTTTCTTTTCATGTCTGTAATCTAACTCTAGCTAACTCAGTAAGCTATTGGGTCAAGTTGTTTGGGGGAATATTCTATATTTATTGAATTATTTTGAGTCTTTTGTTGAAGGAAGTGTAGTTACATTTCTGAGCTTCAGTTTTATCCTTTAGTGTATGAAAAAAGCCTTTTTTTCTAACAATTTGGGTGATCTTTTTCTACATGTGGAAAATTTTATTTCAATCTTGACTTTGGAAAATAATTACATAGGATGTGGGATTCTGGTATAATGAACTGTTCAGATTCATACTGAAAACTTTTCTAATTTATTCACGTATAAGGAAAGTTAACTTGAAATAAAAAGAAATGGCTATGAATGGACTAGTAAATCTCTCTCAGAAATAAAGGCAGTGGTTCTCTCCAGATGAGATCTGAAAACATGTACGTAAGTGGGCTCAGAATTAGAACATGTTGCCAAATGATTTGTAGTTGGTTCAAGAACTAATTGTTAGAAGTAAAATTTGAGAATGAAATGGCTAGGTGTGGCAGACTGAGAGATACTACATCAAATTGACAGGGTCTCAAATTGAAATTACTGATCAAACATCATGAATGATATCAAGCTTCTTAAAAAATTATTTCTGCCATGTATTTTAAAAAGTGTTGAGAAATAATAGACTTTTAGGAATAGTGGTAGTGGTATGTTTCCTCTTTGATAGAAATGAAATCTTTGGCTTGATCTAGGAATGGAGTGAAATAATTTTAGTGCCTTCAAATGTGAAGTGTTTGGTTAAAAAGAATAAAATACTAGCATTGTTCTGTGACATTCCCGTGTATTTGTGTAACATCTTAAATAAGATACCTAATAAATTAATATTCATAGTTCAGAGGTGTATTTTTCTATAAATCTACTAATAGGGAAATTAGTTAGTTTGACTTTGTTTTTCTGTGCTATGCAGATTAAAGACAAATGATTGTCAAATCAATCTTACAGAAAGTAACTACCACAGTAGGGATGAACAGTTTACTCTGAAGCTAAATGATTCACTAAATTTTGACCACAGTGTAATACAAGAATTAAAAAGCTTATGCATTCTCACCATAACATTACATCCATAATAATAACAATGGTGGGTCTTGAAGTCATCTTGTAGAACAGATTGTTAGACAATAGTACATCCTTACACCTGAAGAAATTTTAGTACTCCAGCTCACAAGGCAAAGTTATTTATGACATTCTGGGAGCTTGATGCTTGCTGAACTTAATGAAGCTGTGCTAGGACAGCTGAAAGAGTGGACTTCTTGCTTAATCAGCTGCTGCAGAGTTCAGAGTCCAAGTATATTGCATGTGTTGTAAATGTACTGTGAAATAGGTCTCCTGGTTGCATTATGGAATGAGTTTATAGAAACCTCATGCCAAGTGTTAGATTAGGTTCTCATGTACTTCTTATTTTTCACTAATTCTTTATATATGGAAGAGGAGAGATGTATATAGTTCATTTCTTCATTCCAAGAAAAAGATACACCGTTTATTTTCCTATGACTTTTCGGAGGAATTGTTTTAAGGTGAGAGATAATTTATGTAGAAGTAGGTATTTTGAGACAGAAATAACAATTTTGCAACCAAAGATGAATTTTAGATCATCAAAGGTTGATATACTTGTTTATTAGCAACTATTAATTTATCAATAAGGAGATTAATCCTGGGAATATTTAACTTTACCTACTTACCTATCCCCCTTTTCTTTCCTAGTTGAAAAAAAAAATCAAATTTCAAATTTTGAGCACAGTAAACATCCTTTTTCACATTGAAGGCATGGGTTTCACCTGCAATCCCACCATCCAGAAGTAATCATGGTTAATATTTACATTTGAATCACTGCTCTATCACTTGTTAGACTATATAATCTTGTCTTAGTTTTTTTAATCTGTAAAATGAGGATAAAAATAATTCTCACAACGCATTGAAATAAATTAGTTAATATATATGGTAGTGCTCAAAATAGTACCAGGCATTTAGTAAGTGTTAGCTGTTATTATTAAGCAGTCATACCCTAGAATTTTACATACTTATAGGCATTGTTTTAAAGGAATATTTTTATTTTTATGCTAGTTAGGTGGTTCTCCTTACCTTTTTTTTTTTTGTCAGGCATTGTGGCAACCCCAGGAACTGATTCTTTTAGAAACATTTATTAAACTTACTATGTACAAAACATGATAATTGCATTTTCTTTCTCTTTGGCAGCACACAAGTTAGTAGGTGGACCCTTGATTCCATCTACTGTTGTTCTGGCTTTTTTTTTTTTTTTTTTTTAATCTGACTCACCTTATTCTCATTTGAATCATCATTAGAGATGTACATGGAGTATAATTTTCATGTCTTGGCCCAGTTTAATTCCTTTCAAAGAATAGGATCAATAATCAGAATGGCAAATCATGTCTGATTTTGAGGAAGCAAGATTTGTAGACAATTCAGAACCAACTAACCTAATTCTTTTGACCTTGAAAAAAACTTTCAAAATGTTTTATGCAAGGCTTTTTAAATCTTGAGCAACCAAAGGGTTAAATGGAGTGTTTTAAATTATGGGTTTAAGAAACTGGCTTGTTACTAGAAAATAAAGTACAGGAGTGAACTGATACTTCTGGAAGTAGCAAATAGAAAATGAGATCTATGGAGTCAAACTTACGTGTAAGGTTTTAAAATATTTTTATAAATAATCCAAAGAGTAGAATTTTACACGTTTGCAGTTAATAGTGCTCTCAAAAGCTATCAAGAATGAGTTGCAGGAGGAGCTCAGGAAACAGCAGTCAGAATGTAAGGTTGGAGTGAGACCTAACGTTATGCTCCCCTATCATGTCTCTCCAGATGGACTTCAGCAGGCACTTTTCTCTTTTAGGTGAGATGAGATGTTATGTCTCCTTTCCTCTTGCTCTTGTTTTCTTCTTTTCCTTTACTCTTCTACTGATGACATGGAAGTTCTATGTGGCAAAAGCCAAAGGAGTGCCTCTCTTGTCCCAGAATCTATTAATGCAGGTGTAATCATAGGTTCCCTCTTCCTTCTTTGGACTCAAGCTATATGCACTATCAAGTACTAATAAAAGGTGATTGCATTGGTTCTGTAAAGATACCCCAGCCAAAGAAAGTTATCCCAAAAGCTATAAGAAAATGCTGAACTCAATAGTAAAAGTGTTGGAAACAAAATAGTAATTCTGTTCCAACCTTACATAAAGTCATTATGTCACCATGTTACAACCCTGAAGAAACCCGTAAGAGGGAGAATCACCAAAGAAGATGATTTTAAGAGGCCACTCTTCAAGGACCAGTTCAAATTTCATCTCTCTATTATACTTTCTACTTCAGTGGACAGTGGTTCCATTAATTTCTTTGTAGTTGCTTACGTAAATTTATCTTTTGGGGTTCCAGGACTATCTTCTGTTTCTTTGCATCTCTCACACTGTCTCCCTTACACTTGGTAGAAACTCAGAAATGTTTTGGTTCTTAAGTAGTTGAAGAAATTCAGTGATGGGGTAGCACAGGGAGGCAGGGTAACATTAATGTTTTGTGTATGGGTTTTGGAGTCAGACAGATCTGGTATGAATCCTTTCTCTACTAACAAGTTCTTTAATATGAGTTTCTTTTGTAAAATGGTGATGATGATAACTAGTTTCAGGTTTATTGTGAGGATTAGAGATACTCTATAATAAAGTCCATAACAAGTTCTTACTTAGTAAATGGTAGCTGCTGTTGGAATATTACTAGAACCTGATACTGATGAAAGGTATATAGTAAGATAAACATGATTTTATTATGAAATATATCACAAGTGAGAAGGGAAGAGACAAACATATCTTGCTTCCTTAGTATTATAGTCTGAAATTATAGATTCAAGAACAATTTAGATAAATTATGGATGAGAGATTAAGTTCAATTAAGAAAATGTGTATGTGCCTATATATGCCTTGTACTCTCTGGGCAGTGTTGATATCATATAGGTAATAGAGCCTAGTGGATTTATTGCAAGATGTGTGGGTATAAAGCATATCCCAGACTGACTCCTCGCAGAGTTCTGGTGAGGTGCTTCGCAGCTCACAGATTTGATTTAGTATGTTCCATCTGACCTTTCCCCTTTTTGCTAAGTACACATATGTAAACTTAATCCAGAAATCTAAAAATGTTGATGATAGGGGAAGTTGGCTAATCCTCTGAGTTCTTCACTGACTTTCTTGGGCACTTTTACTTGCCTTGACCCTTTTACATATCAAGGCATTACGGAATGGGTTATATTGCTGGTAATGGAAGGCACACATCTGACTCAGACCTTTGACTTATTGAGAGAGGTCAGCATGTGGTGTTAACCCAAATAAGGAAATAGGTTTCTATCAGGGTGGAAACATTCATCCTGTCTCCTTTTGCTTCTCTTGCACAAGAACTTGAGGTCAGAGCAGCTCCACTGTTATTTTAATCTTCACTTGCACTCATTATAATTAAATGAATTCTGTGGGGGGAAATTTCATTTTTTGAGATATACCTCCTTGTTAATTTTATAAACTCCTGATAGAGTTTATTTTGCTAACATGGTCCCCTTGTGTTTCCTTTTTACCTACCAAGGCAATGTTAGATTTTGCGAGATGTTTAGAAGCTAAGTTAAATACTAAATCAAATAGTCCACTGTTTATTTTTAGAGATAAAGTATTTATCTTGGCAGATTTTGTTGCCTTTGCCTGTGCTTAAGGTGAATAACTCATAAGGAGATAAGGTTCTTGACATTTCTGTCTTGTTTAAAAAATAAATTGATTTAAAATGTTGGAGATTCCTTAGATTTGTATATGTGCATATATACAGGGTAGAGCAAAAGTAGGTTTACTGTCATCTGTATGAAAATAATATAATAAATAATAATTCAAGAATATACTTTTTCACGTACTCACTACTGTAAACCTAATGTTACCCCAGCCTGTATGTGGTTTGTAAAGGAAAACCTGCGTTTTCATTGCCTCAAGAGATTGAAGGATAATACTTATTGTATAATATGTTATATGTTTATAAGGTATGTAGAAATTTTCTATTTGCATAAAAAATTGTAAAAGTTATAATACTTTTTAACATTTAATATTGCCCCCAAATAAAAAATACATACACTGAGTTTTATTGCGTTAACTGGCCTAATCCTTAGAGACTAAAGAAATCTGAATGTAACTGAAGATAGTTATTTTAAGGCTGGCAATTAACTCTTCAATGAAGAGGGTTTTTTTTGTTTGTTTGTTTTAATGAAATTGTTTGTATACTTTCTTTGGCTCACTGAAAATGAATTATATGAAGTGTCTAATAAGGTCATTTCATCTTTCAAAATTATAAACCTTACCTTTTTTAAAAATATGTTTTTATTGATTTTTTTAGAGAGAGAGGATGGGCGAGAGAGATAGAAACATAGATGCGAGAAAGAGACATCCATCAGTTCCCCCTGCACGCCCCCTCTTGGGAATCGAGCCGGAAACCCAGGCATGTGCCCTGACCAGAATCATACTGGGACCTCTCAGTCCATGGGACGACACTCAGTCTACTGAGTCATACTGGCCGGGCTAAACCTTACATTTTTGATATAAAAATTAAAGCATATGGATTGAACTTTTGATTTAGTATTTTAGGTAACTATTCTTTAATCCTGATAAAATAGAGGACAGCTATAAGCATCTCTGAAATCCTATGATCACAGTCTTCAATTTGATTGTCAAACAAACCTTTTATCAGCACTGTTTGCTAATTAATAAACTAGACTAAGCTGAGCTTAATCCTTGGCTGAGAGGATTGAAAAGCAATTAAGGAGTAAGGTAGTAAATACAAAGAATCATAAGTAGTAAATGTTTTCTCTGAATTGGTTATTTTATATTCAATACACAAATACACAATTTGCCATGTATTTGCAGCAGAGCATTGAGAGTTAACCTTGAACCTTTCCTGTTTTTAATAATTCAAGTAAATATCTATATTTTTTCTGTAGGGACTTACTAGTTTGTATTCTGTGCTTAAAATAAATGTAAGACACTTTAAGGTACAGTGTCTTTTTTTTTTTAAAGGAAAAAAGAACTGAAATGCATATCTTAATATTTTATGTTATCTAATAAAAAATTTTAGGTAGCCTCTCTGCATAATTATGGTGACTTAGCAAGTATTTTTGTTAGTTGAATGATGTGTGTATCAATGTGCTTACTATAGAATACAATATCAGAAATGTTGCTTTTTCTAAGAAAATTGATATTAATTTTGATTTAAACCTTTTATTGCAGCTAGAACGAGTAAATCTGTCTGCAGCTCAGACACTGAGAGCAGCTTTCATTAAGGTGAGGCACAGTAATTTATTATGATTATTAAACTGTGTGTTATACATAAATCTAAAAACCAGCTGATAATTGCCAGTTTATTTCCTTTTAGTGACAACCCTTTCAACCGTCTTGTGCCAGTTTTGGTGTACTCTAAAGCTTAACACACTTCCAGAAAGTAAGCTGAAACAAATGCTCTTTCTTTAAAATTCATCTTTCCACTTTAAGCTTTTGAAACTGACTTGGAGTACTCCCTCTTTAACTTTGAAGTAGATTTAAAAAATATTTTTTTATTTGACTTGTTAAAAACTTTTGTAAAATTATAACTGAAAAGATTTTCTTCATATTGTTTAATTATAGAACATAAGTATAAAACAATGTTTTTGAGTGGGGAAAATAAGACCTGTGTGTACATTAGATTAAGGAATCTTTGAGAATATACAGCTAAGTCACTCACCATGAATTTTTTCATTGTCACTAGACCTGTGATTCTTCAGTCAATAATCACTAGCCACGTGTGGCTGTGGGGCACTTATAACATGGCTTGTTCCAATTGAGTTGTACATGAGGCATGTATAAATACACACCAGATTTCGAAGACTTGGTACCAAAAAGAATAGAATGTAGAATAACTCAGTAGTGAGTATTTTATATTGATTATATGTTGAAATGATAATATTTTAGATGTACTCTTAAGATAATTACATATTTAAAAAAATTTTTTAAATAGGGCTACTAGAAAATTTAAAATTGCAGAGACTTATACTTGTTTCTTCATTGTATTTTTATTGGATGGCCCTATCTAACATTCTGGGTGCTTTCTTTCATATAAAACTATCCCCATCCCCAAAATACATATCAGGGTTCCTGAAATTTTAATGTTTATTTACCTTTTGTTTGTTTGTTCCCGTCAATAGTTAAAACAACTTACGTTTTAGGTAAAGTATTTTAATGTTTAAATCTAGAGATTTAAATCTTGAGATTCATTGGAGTTGAAACTATAAATCCACCCACTATTTTTCTGCAAAAGATTAGTTTATAGATACCAGTCTTAACTGATAGCATTCATAATGTCACCCAATATCTCCCTTATTTCTCCACAAGAAATTATATTGTATATGTTAGATTAAAACTTTTAAATGTGTTTAATACTCTAAAATGTAGTATCTATGTACACATTCATACTAGCTTCTTTAAAACAAAACATATCCTTGCCAAATCGTTGGGTTAATGAAGAGAATCAAATCAGTACCATTATCATTTCTTTCTTTCTTTCTTTGCTTATTAATATGGTTTGGACTGGCATATTTGGTCATTAGGGTGACTTAATGACAACTATTTTAAGCATCTTTGGAACAAAAGAAAAAAGGGAAAAGTGATAGATTAGACAATGTAGTATATTGGTAAGGCAAAAGCGGTTTTTCAGCTTTCCTGATACCAAGAACAGAGGGAATTTCTCCTGTGTGTTCCAGTGAAGAAGAGCCTATCTGAAGCAGTAGATGGTATACTAAGTGACATTCATAAAGAGATACAATAGTGACTTTCATGAAGCTTATTTTTGTAATGTCCTTGTATATAAGCTCATGTTTTGTTGTTGTTGTTGTTTTTTTATCCTCACCCGAGGACATTTTTCCATTTTTTTGTTCAGGTAGAGTGGGAGGGAGAGAGAGGAACAGAGAGAGAGAGAGAGAGAGAGAGAGAGAAACATCAACGTGAAGGGACACATCGAGTGGCTGCCACCCGCACGACCGACCAGGGCCGGGGACAAACTGCAACCGAGGTACATGCCCTTAGCGGGAACCGAACCCGGGTCTCTCAGGACCGCAGGTCGACGCTCTAACCACTGAGCAAAACCGACCAGGGCTAAGCTCATGTTTTAACACTGAAGTACAAGAGCTAACAATATGTGTAAGTGTGTGGCTGTTGTAGATTGGGTTTGATACTTGGATAAATTTTGCTATCCACAGCACAAATTCTTAATTGGGGATAGTGTAAAGTTATTTTGGAGGTAAACAGTCATTCTGCACTGATTTATTCCTTATTATCACATTTAATTTGTTAAATTTCAGATGAAATTATAGTGGGGCAAGATTTTTTTTGTTTATATCCATATTTCCAGTTCTTGGACCACAGCAAGTTATATTTCTCAAGCCTTGAGGGAAAGGAGTTAAAATAATTTTTTTAAAAGATAATATTAGTGACTGTCTATTCTGCTTTTGATTCCTTCCCCCTCTGGAGTTTCTGGAGTTTGTGCTGCTGAGAATCACTAATTCACAAGAGTGGATATTACTGCCCTTGGGGACAGTTTTCTTTTATAGTTGGATAAAAATTGGAGACCATACAGTTGAGGGTTTTATGGGGGGAGGGGTTATAGATATATAGTCTCTGATTTAATGATAGATTTCTTTATTTTTTCAGTCAGAGTCATTGGGTAAATTTAAGTCTTTTAAAATAAAATGTAGCTTAAGTAAGACTCTAGGCAGAAGATAAGACAACTGTTCTCAAATTGTTTGCTGAGGCACCATTGGGCCCCATAGCAAACTCAGGTTTCATGAGATAACTTTAAAATTTTGAAGAAACACAGTGATATTCAACATCTGATTGACACTTGAGCTACTTCCTTATAGTAGTTTGCTGTTTCAACATATTTGATTGGACTGCATTCCTTTCAATGATGTCATGTCTTTGTTAGCTGAACTTTTGACCGTTACTATGATAAAAAGCAAGTACCACAAGAAAATCAATATACAACAGGAAATGAAGGTAGAGAGTCTAATCTAATTCCAATATTTGAGACTTTGTGCAATGTCCAGTAGAGTGCACAGATCTCATTCAAATAAGTAGTTACAGTTATTTAAGAATGAAATTAAATACTTTTCTTTCAATTTGTGTATATTTTAAAGGCTACTAAGTTGTTAAGACATCAGTACGTATTAAGTTGTTTGAACCTAGCTAATACAGCACTGTTAAGTATTTCTGTTGGCACTGAGAACCCTGAACTGAGGATGTTGGGGACTCTGTGTGGTTTCTTCAGTGTTCCAGCTTTGGCACTTTGGAGCCCCAGACCAATTTGGTATTGAAAACCTTGTTTTCAGGCTTTCAGCATTTAATTTTTCAGCACCTTACTATAACTGTTTTCTGCAAGCATTGTCTGGAAGCATATAGAAAATGCTTCTCCACTTCCCAAGATAATATGTTATGATAATTTAATGCTAGTTTTTAAAGATAAACCAGTTATCAAATACTGACTAGTTAAATAGTGTATTATAGGTAATTTTGTGGCAGTTCACCAAATTAATAAAGTTTATACCATCTTAAGCCAAATTTTATAGCTAGCTTTTCTTTTAAAGGCAACTCATTTTATTTTTTTGAGTAGATTCTATCTTCAATATCTATGTGGAAGAAAAAATTAAAACAGATTATACGCTTGTCATCCCCCCATATCCAGTTACACTTTATTACCTGTGTGGTTAACTGTGGTCCAACAGCATTAAGTGGAAAATTCCAGAAATAATAAGTTTTATAATTTTTAAATGAAAAATTTATGTTTTAAAATTCTAGAAATAATAACAGTAAGATCATAAGTTTTAAATTTTGTTCAGTTGTGAGTATTGTGATGAAATCTCACACATTCTACCCAGTGACCATCCCTATATCCAGTATCTGTGCTGTACGTGCTCCGTCCACTAGCCATTTTGTAAGTATGGGAAACACATAATACGGGCAGTGCCCAGCTTATAATCAGTGTTTTACTTCACTCCTTTGTGATCAGATCAGTCTGCCGCAGTATGGCAGTGCTTGCGTTAAGTAACCTTTACTTACTTAAGAATGGCCCTAAAGCTCAAGAGCAGTTATACCGGAGATTTGGATATGTCAAAGAGAAGCCACAGAGTGCTTCCTTTGAGTGAAAAAATGAAAGTTTTCGACTTATTAAGGAAAGAAAAATTTTTTTATGTTGTGGTTGCTAAGGCCTATGGAAAAAAGAAATCTATGAAATTGTGAAGAAAGAAAAATTTGTGCAAGTTTACTGTCACATCTCAAACTGCAAAAGTCAATGGCCACAGTGCATGATAAGTGTTTATTTAGTTAAGTAAAAAAGTCATTAAATTTGTGGGTGGAAAACATGAACAGAAAATGTTCCAATTGATGACAAAAACATGTTGTGCCAGAAAACATTGAGCCTATGTGAAAACTTCAGCAAGCGGTCTCCTGAAACAAGTGACACCAAGCCATTTACTGCAAGTAAGGGTTGGTTGCAATAAGATATTTTGATAGAGACCATATTTACATAACTTTTATTACAGTATGTGGTTATAATTGTCCTTTTTATTAGTTATTGTTGGTCTCTTATTGTGCCTAATAAGTTAAACTTTATTATAGATAGTTAAGTATAGGAGAAAGATAATACGGATAGTGCCCAACTTCTAATCAATTTTTGATTTTAGAGTGATTTTAAAGTTATCCACATTCCGTAGAAATCGTACTTGGAATTTTGAATTCTGATCTTTCCCTGGGCTAGCAATATGTGGTACAGTTCTCCATGATGCTGGGCAGTGGTAACGAGCTGTAGTTCCTGGCCAGGCACTCCACATAATGAGGGTAAACAATCAAACTTGCAGGTACTCTATTGCCAGCATATTTTAGATACTGTGTTCTCAGCATGGGTAGGTTTAGCTAAGCTATGATGTTCAGTTTGTTAGATGTATAAAATGCACTTCTGAATTAGGATATTTTTAATTTTTGATGGGCTTTATAGGTTCGGAATTTCATCATAAGTTGAGCATTTTGATGTATAAGGTTTGGTACTGCCCAAGGTTTCAGCATTCACTGAGGGTCTACCCCATGGGGGTGGGGGGGGGGACTGCTGTTAAAAGAAATGGAATTCAGTGGGACACACTTTATTCTTACTAATTATCTAGCAAAATTACTTCTCTTGATAGCATTTAACAACAGTGAAAATGTTCTCAGGATTGACGTAAATGTGTATATTTTCTTCTTCCATTTCATTCACAACATTGTAGTTTTTAATCCTGAAATCTAATGAGAAACAAGATGTCAGAATGGAGTGAGCAGAAGGAACAGCAGAAAGCTGGATCTGCAGTGATACCAGAGTGGAACTGAAAAGGCCGAGGTTAAATGTGCTTGACACATAAGAAAACAAATAAGTTACCATCTGGTTAAGATCATAAATTGTTTCTATTTTCTGTTTAATATCAGGACAAGAAAGATAGGAAAGCATCAGTATAATGATTAAAATTGGCAGTTATCCTAAAAGAAACAAATTTAGAGTACAATTATAAAATTTAAAACAATTATAAAATGGGACAAAATTACTGGGGGAAACACAAATTTTGAAAATTAACTTTGGTAAACTCAGAACTCTTTATGCTCAGTCTTGAAATGACTAGACGATTTCCATGCCCTGGGGAGTAACATAGAACGAGTACAAAGTCATTAGTGAAATAAGCTCAGGAGGTAGTAAAAGGATTAATGATGTTCTGAAAACTAGTGAAGGAAGTATTCTTGCTACAAAAATAAAACAAAGTGAAAGTCATTATGTGGGGAAAGTATTTAAGGGATAATACAGCCTCAATACAACTTGCAAAAGAAATCCTGTTTTTTTTTGTTCTAGTTTTTACTGACATTCTGTTAAATGCCAAAAATCTGCAAAACACTGGTGAGATGAGTAATTAATTGCTGGAACCTCAGGTTGAAAGATTAGCTAATGAAAAAAATGTAAAAATTCTTAGTATATTTAAACTACTGAAAAGAGTAATTGATGGATTACCAAAATATATATGTTTAATTCTATCTTTGTTATTAGTTTGATTGCAGGAGAGTGTAGAGAGGTAGGAGATGTTAAGTACTTCATGTTCAAAGGGAAAGTAGACCATGGCTGTAATAAGAAATTACTGATGCCCTGGCCAGTTTGCTCAGTGGTTAGAGCGTTGGCTCGCGGTTCAAAGAGTGTCAGGTTCAATTCTAGTCAAGGACACGTATTTCAGTTGCAGTTTGGTTCCCTGCCCTGGTCTCTGTCACATGGATGTCTTTGTTTCTCCCCCTCACTTCCTCCCTCCCTCCCTCACTCTTATCTGAAGATAAATGGAAAAATATCCTGGGGTGAGGATTATAAAAAAGAAGTTACTGATGCTTAAGTTTTATCAAAACAGAAGTGAATGCCACCACCACACCTGCTTGACAGAGATTTCTGCCTTTCTAAGTTGATCAACGTTTCCAAAGGTTCTTAACAGTGAAATTCTGATTTAGTTTCTATATTTCCAAACTAGATTTGTCTTTCTTATAGGCCGAAAAAGAAAATCCAGGACTCACACAAGACATCATTATGAAAATTTTAGAGAAAAAAAGTGTAGACGTTAACTTCACAGAGTCCCTTCTTCGAATGGCAGCTGATGACGTAGAAGGTAATCAGAAGGAGCCTGGCTTCCTCTTCTTACACTTGTCGGGAGGCACGTCTTCCCCATCCTTGTCACTGGACAAGGTTCAGCCTCCCCCTTTTCCTTCCCGCTCCGCTGCTTTGTTCTTGTTATTATTATGATAATACTGGGGACAGGGGGACTATATAAAACAGAAAAGTAGTTCTTGCTTTTTGTTTTATGTTTGTCAGATTTAATTACTTGAAGTAAAGTGTTTATGTTGTACATTTTAATTTTTTCCCTCTATTAATATGTTTCATGAGTTCTGGTTTCACCAAAAGATAAACTCTGTGCAGTGGTTATTTAATTTTATGTTGACTTTATGCAAAAAGCAGTTTGAAATAATAAGGGTGTTTGGTACTTTTTTTTAAGTACAGATTTGAGAGAACAATATAATAACCATTCTTTCTCATTTTTTGCTTTTTTAAATAATTAGAAATGGGTTTCACTTAAATTTAGTAGCCATTTTCCCACTAATTAAGAAAAAAATAGAAGTATAATTTTCCATATTTATTGAGGGAGAACAAAAGTAAGTATTTAAACTGATTCCGTAACTTACAAGAATTGAAGTGTGTCCCGCCTGTGAGGCCAGGTCATATTGATTGGTGGTAGGGTTGTAATGTTTCCAGGTCTACAGTGAATCTGCTAGGAACGTTTTTGCCTCTTCCAGGTGTGATTGAACTTTCTTTCCAAAGTTGCTTTTCTGTGATCTGATCCTTGTGTTGAATTTTTGGTGGTATTTTTTGTTTTTAAGTGAGATTTCAAGAACGTGCTAAAGATTGTTTGAGTTTTGATATAATGAGCCATTGTATACTCAGCATAGAGGTTTTTGTTAAATTCATCTTCCCCTTGGCAGGTGCATATTGTCATCTAATGTGTCATGAATGTCATTATTTTAAGGTTTTATTGAGAAATGTAGCTTCAGAGGATTGATAAATTTGATTAAGACTCCCTTTTAATTAATTTATTTATTATGATTTCATGAGCAGTTGAAACTGTTTAATCTCTCATCTTCTATTATTTTATTTGATAAGAACCCTGTTATTTCCAGACTAAGTTGAACTCAAACAAATTCTGCTTTGCAACCTTGCCTTGCCTAGTTAATCTGGCCTTTCTGCCCCCCTCCCTCACCTCCTTGACCAACATTGGGAATTCTTAGACTTGCATTTGACAGGGAGTTGCCTGATGCTTTTTATTATGTATTTATTTTATCAGAGTACATGATTGAACGACCAGAGCCAGAATTCCAGGACCTAAATGAAAAGGCACGAGCACTTAAACAGATTCTCAGTAAGATCCCAGATGAGATCAACGACAGAGTGAGGTTTCTGCAGACAATCAAGTAAGCAGTTTCTTGTTTTTGTTCTTCTTAAGTACTTCAAAAGAACCAGTCATTCTAGATGTTTTATTTTGATATGACATTAATATTAAATTAAAATATTCATTTCAAATAAATTTGGAGTTTTTAAATGCTACATCTTAATTAAATTCTCAGCTATGGCATTTAGCTTCAGAGTACATAACTTTTTTTGGAATGTTTTATTTTAAAACAGTGAGTGAAATACACATAAACTAGAATATAGTTTAAACTACATACAAATGGAAAAATTAAATGTCAGATTAAAGTGAATAGAGAAGTTGGATAAATTATACAGCTTGATAACAAAGGATACCAGTATTGTTTTTATTTCATAAATGGCACTAGTCATTTAAGATAAGTTATGTGCTTCTTGTGAGTAGCATTTCTAGTTGACCAAATTGTGAAGCTTCAAATCCTTGCCTTTGGGACACATCGAGTGGTTGCCACCCTCACGACCAACCAGGGCCGGGGACAAACTGCAACCTAGGTACGCGCCCTTAGTGGGAACCGAACCCGGGTCTCTCTGGACCGCAGGCCGACGCTCTAACCGCTGAGCCAAACCAGCCAGGGCTCAAATCCTTGCCTTTGGGATGCCAGTTTAAAAAAAAAACTAAAATTGGGGGGTGGGGGGGCAGGAGGCTGGTTGTTGACAAGAGTCGTCATAGAGCAGTGGTTCTCAAACCGAGGGCACTGTCCTCCCACGAGAGGGTGGAGGAATTGGAGTGGGGGAAGGACTACAAACATAACTTTTAGATAAGTGTTTCTAAACTGAAGTGTCTGTTAGTTTTCTTCAGCCTCAATGGATAGAAAACAAAGAAAGCTGGGAACGATTGTAGTGGGTGGCACTGTTAACACAACCTGTTGGTGAAACCACAACTAGAAATTGTTGGAAAGATTTAGAGCTTGCATCAAACATCTTATCTTTAAGGATGCTCACTTGGAATAAATATTAACATTTATTTCTCAGAAATAGTATTCTATGTAATTTACATTACAAAATATTATTTTAGTTAGTTTGGGTACCTATTTTGAGTGATACAGAGGGAGGAGTATGTCTCGTTTTAGAAAATAATGGTTTTTGAGGGGTTTCCAACTCATCTATCAAGGAGTGGCCCTCTGCTTTTTCTTCTGATTGAGAATCAGAAAGCGTAATAAAGGCTTCATTGACTAGCCAAAATCTGTGCAACAGGGAACAAACCCTGAGGTAAATATTTTACCATCGTTGAGAAGCCCCAATTTCCATTAACTGTTTTTAATATGTGAAGAAGGAAGACAATCAACTGTTTATGGATTTTTATTTTTAGTTTGGTATAAAGTAAACATGTTTGGCCCATAAAAAGATAAATGTCAGTGATCTCAAACACAGCCATTTATACAACTTATATCTACAATTTTATAATAATTAAGTTTAAAATTGTTTTTGTACAATTCTATGAAGATTTGACATTTTATTTTATTTTATTTTATTTATTTATTTTTTTATCATCACCCGAGGACATTTTTGCATTCATCTTTAGATAGAGCAGGAGGGAGAGAGTGGGGAAGAGAGAGAGAGAAACATCGATGTGAGAGAGACACATTGACTGGCCACCACCCACACGACCTCAACTGGGGCCGGGACAAACCACAACCAAGGTATGCACCCTTAGCGGGAACCAAACCTGGGTCTCTCTGGACCACAGGCTGACACTAACTGCTGAGCCAAACCAGCCAGGGCAAGATTTACCATTTTAAAAATAATATTTTCAGTAAATTTTGCTTCAGATCATTCAAGTAGAGGTTTATAAAATCAATGTCATCTTAATAATAATATTAATCACTTACATAGAAATTACATGCTAAGCATTTTTTTTTATCCTCACCCGAGGACATTTTTCCATTTTTTGTTCAGACAGAATGGGAGGGAGAGAGAGAGAGAAACATCGACAGGAAAGGGACACATTAAGTGGCTGCCACCCTCAAGACCAACCAGGGCTGGGGACAAACTGCAACTGAGGTACGTACCTTTAGCGGGAACCGAACCCAGGTTTCTCTGGACCACAGGCCGACGCTCCAACCGCTGAGCCAAACCAGCCAGGGCCATGCTAAGCATTTTTTAAGCACTTGGATACATATTAACTTATGATAAAACCCTGTAAGAGATGAGGAAATTGAGGCATCAGAAATTAAATAACTTTCCCAAGTTCACAGAACTGTTAAGTTGATAGAACATGATTTACAACCAAGTAGACTGACTTCAGGGTCTTCTCTGATGCTTTCCTACCAGAGATTCCTAATGTTGATCTAATCTGGTAATTGAATGAAAATTTTCTGTTGTTTGGATGAAGTGTGATAAAGGACATCTTATAACAGAATGCCAGTAGGTAGCGGAGAACGGTGTTGTGGTTGCATCTGGGGTAGAACTGACTGGCCCAGAGCCCTTGTCCTGCTCCTTTGACTCCCTTTCTTCCCTGTGGAGTCCGTGAAGCATCTGTGCTAATAAACCCAGTAGAGAGATACAGTTTGAAAACCACTGTATTAACAGCCGCATTTTAATCATTAAGGGTGTTGATTGAGGTCAAGAGCTTAAGACTCTTGTCCATAGTCATTGACAGAGGCTGAATTAGGGTCTTGTCTCTCATATATGGAAAATAGTAATACTTCAGTTCTGTTTTCTGGAGTGTATCTGCACAACAGAATTCAGATAAAAAAATTTTTTTTTAAACATTTTAGGAATAATTTGCTATGGAAAGTTTGTTGTTTATATATATTATTTCTGAGACTAAAATTCAATGATGTATGAGTTAGCATACATAACTAAAGGTGTAATTATTTGTGTTACTGATATATATAGATAGATTTTAATATATATTGTTATCACTGTTAAATTGTTTAACAAATTAGTGGCTAAAATTTTACCAAAATAAAATTTATCCTTTAGGCACACTATTGTTCTTTAAAATATTTTACTTTCTCATAGTAGTTATGCTCTCCACTTATCTATTTTAGCAATATTTTTCGATAAGTATGTATCAGATACCTACTATACCAAGTACTGTACTAGGTTACATTAGAGTAGAAAACAGATTTCTGTAAGCTCACAAATATTCGACTGTTTCTGTATCTGTTAGCAGACCTAGGTTTGAATCTCCATTCCAGTATTTAGATGTGTGACCTTGGATAAGGTAATGAGCTGTAGTTCTAGTTTCTGCCTATGAAGATGAGGGTAATAGCTGTGAGGATTGAAAGAAATGATGTACATAAAGTGCCTAGCACAGAACCTGGCATCCACTCCCAGCACTTATTAGCATTGTGAAATAAGGTTTGTTTTTTTCAGTTTCTCTCTACAGAGTTGATTAGGAAAAATGATCCAGCAAACAAATATTTTAAAGTACTTTTGATTAATGAATGTTTCTGTTTGATTACATTTGAGCTTATGCAAATATTTTATAAAATTAATTCATGGGATTTTTTTTTTAAGTCTGACACATTCCAATTAATGGATGACTAGTAGAAACTTGTAATTCAATAGACCATAAAGCTATGCATTTATCTATTTACTCATTATAATCTTCATTTGCATATTCATAGGCAAAAATTTGCCAGGGTTTAGTTTCCACGATGGCCTCAAATTAGTTTTTCCAGAGCTGTCCAGTCTAGAGCAAACTAAACATAGCATAGGGGTTTCCTTCCTTTAGAGTATTTGCATAAACACATATAAATTTGGGTGATACAATTAGAAGCTCTTTGTTTCTCTGCAATTTTTTGATAAGATGTGTTTATATTTCATTGGATGCCTATTGTCCTCTCAGTATGTATGTTTCCCCAAAGTTGCCTCACGAAATAGCTGCAAATTGCTAAAATTTGTTCTTGTTATACCCATACTCTGTGTCCCTTATCACAGAAACCATTAACTCCAGCATATAATTATACTATAGATATTTTAGCCTCAAGTTTTCCCTAGTTCTTTATCTATTTAATTGAAGTATTGTGTGTGTGTGTGTGTGCACACGCATGCTCAAGCACTGGTATTTTCTCCCGTAGGAACCAAAACCTCAAGTATTCACTAATATAATTTAACTTCCTTGGTGCCATAAATGAAAATGTTGTTCTGTGTACATACAGATGACATAATATTTGACATAAATTGCTGTGGATTGTTTTAGAGACAGCCAAGCCTAAGGATAAACATCCTTGGTCTTTATAAAGCTCTGTGGCAAATAATGGATCAAACCTTAGCTCTAGGTTCTGTATTCCCACACAGTGGTTTCCAAACCAGCTTTATCAGCAAAACCACCTGGGATCTATTTTTTCCTTTTTCTTTTAAAGCACGGACAAATTCCCAATATTTATTAGTAGGATGGAGTACTGTCTGAAGCTTAAACCCTCCCTTCTCTTCCCTTTGTCCCTTTTTGTCTTTGGTGCCAGGTGAGTGAGTGAGCAACCACTTTCAGAACTGCTCTTTTGACCTACAGAATACAGCTGGTATCATTGTATGTGGAACATATGTTCATGTTGATTAGCACTGAATGCACATTTTTATCCTTTTTAGCAGAATTTTAAAGCATACCACAAAGTATGGTTGTGTATAAACAGCTCTCTGATCACTGTTATACTTTGTTTTAAATAGGCTCATTGTGGATTTAAAGAATCATTCATATTCAGCGATTTGACATTTTTCATTTGTTGAAATTATAAGTTTTCTCACATAATAAGTTGGTTATGTGACACCATTTTATTAAGCCTAGGTGGACTTACAACCATCACAGCAATAGAGGATTCTACTTGCTTAAAAACCTAATGAAAGGAACAGTTGTATAACTAAAAATTGTTATCACTAAACTAGAGACAAAAAAAATTGTATAGGAAAGGAACAGTTGTATAACTGAAAACTGTTATCACTAAACTAGAGACAAAAAAATTGTATAGATGTCATTTCTATGTAAAATTCTTTGTCTTATTTGAACATTTAATGTTTCAGCCTGATGCTGATGTTAGACATGCAGGATGTAATAAGTAAATATTTATTGAAATGTCATTACTACTTTAGAATAGGCGAAAATACCTTTTTTTTTTATATGAAAATTTTATCTACTTATAAGTTTTAGAATTTCCACACATTTACTAGAAATATGCTGTGAAACACACACGTGCACCCACAAAACTGGACAATCTGGACACTGATTTTTTTTTCCTTTAAGTAGCAAAGCTGAAATATTGGTATGAAATAACTGAAATCTGACTTTAGTGATTAAAAAGTCAGTAATAAAAAATTATATTTTGGGTAGTTCGGATTTATGCTTACTAATTTGTATCTTCATACTTGGAATGATTTGAACAGCAAAGAGAATGGATGTGAAAAAGAGAAGGCTTGCCTTGGAGAATATGAGACTATTGGTGAATGCAGAATTATGTTGTTTAGTTTGACCCCCCCCAAAAAAAAATTTTTGCTCCAAAGTTAGAACGTGAAAATTGAACAGGAAGAGTTTGAAAGAAAAGAAAAAAATTGTGCATGAATAGGAAGAATAGTCAAATGAGAATTATAGATTTCTTTAGTAAGAGGAGGGAAGTATTGATGCATATAAAAACAGTTTTGGAAGGGGAGGATCCGTGGTTGTTGGATAGAAGGTAAATGTTTCAAGAGGAGCTATGTCTGAGCAGGAAATATTTTAAAACAAACTATCAGATATGTAACTGGAAGTGTTGGTAAATATAGAAATGAATTACATGTAATAGCAAAACTTCATAGAATTTTAATGAGATAGCAAAAACAGAATGTGGTAACTTGAATTCAGCTATATTAGAAAAGGAAAAATTATAATTGGAAAAGATGAGAAGCAGAAGCATAATCTTTTGAATTTAAGCAAGTAATGCTGAAGGAAATGTTTCTAATTTGGGAAGGTTGATGTTGTAGAATATTTGACCAGAAAAGTCAGGATCACAGAAGGGTACACACTAAAACCCCTACTCCACCAGCCAGTCAAATGTTTGTGCAAATGTAGCTGATTTTAAGAAGATTCTTTTTTTCTTGTCCAACAGGGATATAGCTAGTGCAATAAAAGAACTTCTTGATACAGTGAATAATGTCTTCAAGAAATATCAATACCAGAACCGCAGGGTAAGTTTACTGGAGGCCTTACCCTGTGCCACCCTATATGTTGGTTCACACCTAGTTATTTCATTGAGATAAATACTAAGGTAGTTTGATTACTGGGAATAACCTCCTGTCCTTGACTTTACTTTTGTGTTATTTCTCTTTTCTTATTTAATATTTTTTCTTACTATTTTTTATGTCCATAGGCACTTGAACACCAAAAGAAAGAATTTGTAAAGTACTCCAAAAGTTTCAGTGATACTCTGAAAACCTATTTTAAAGATGGCAAGTAAGTACTGTCACTTACCATCCTTCTCTTTTAAAATTAAATAAATTATATGGTTTACATAAAACTAAAACCATATAAATGAAATCATTTTTACTATATTATTAATAATCACGCCAACTAGTAACTAAGGTAAACTGCTAAAAATAAAAAGTGAATGGTTGATAATCCAGCCATACCATTTTAGAGCAGGAGTTGGCAGCCTTTTTTCAAGAAAGGGCCAGATAGAAAACATTTGACTTGGTGGGCTTGTTGCAACTGCCCATCTCACCCAATGCTGTTGTAGTGCAGAAGCAGCCATAGATATATAGAAACAAGTGGGTATTATGTCCACGTTCAAATAAAACTGTATCTATAGACACAGATTTCCATTTTGTATATATTTCACCTGTCACTTAATACTATTTTGATATATATTTTTTATAATTTTACCATTTAAAAACCTTAAAAGTATTTTTTAGCATGCAGTCCATACAGAAACAAGGTGAGATTTGACTTACTGGCCCAACTCTTTTAGTAACATCAGAATTCCCTGAAGGGCTTGTTAAAGCACAAATTGCTTTTGGTGGGTTCCACCCCCAGAGTTTCTTATTGTCTAGGGTGGGCTCAAGAAAATTTGCATTTATTTCTAAGAAGTTTTCAGATGATACTGATGCGTAGGTCTTGAGAGCTGCTGCACTAAAGTTCAAGCAATGGTTTGCAATCCTGCTTGTGCATTAGATTCTCTTGGGTTCAGTTTTTAGTTTATTTTATTTTTTCTTTATTGATTTTTTTAGATTGGGGGGGGGGGGCATGAAGAGGGAGAGAGATAGAAACATCTATGAGAGAGAACATCGATTGGTCTCCTCCTGCATGCCCCCCACTGGGGATCAGGCCCACAACCTGGGCATGTGTCCTGACTGGGAATCGAACTGGTGACCTCTTGGTTCATGGGTTGATGCTCAACCACTGAGCCATACTGGCCGGGCTTGGGTTCAGTTTTATAAAGTCCCAGTGCCTTGGCTCCACCCACCTTCAGAGATTCCGATTCTGTTTGCTTGGAGAGGGGCCAGGGTTTAGGTGTTTTATACAAGTGTGCTAGGTGATTTCAAAGTGCTTTGAAGGTTGTGATTCATTGTCCAGGCAAAAGGGACACTGTCACAGGAAGTATACTAAAAGGGAAATTGGTTATTATTTTTACACTTTTATACAATTGGCTGTTGAACATTCCAGAAAACCAAAACTTTTTTGTGTTTTTACATATATATATACGTGTACATAAAATGTATAGTTGATTCAGAAGCGATTCTTCAGCAGCATTGTGCCTTATAGAGAATTTTTTGTATCAAGTAGAATTCAGTAAACTTTTGTCCACAAAACCATTTTTTAACAGTGTTTAAAGTCAGAAAAATAATTAGTGATTATTTCAACCATAATTGGCAGGGACCACATGCTATTCTACCATAGAACTTATAAGATCCCTATATCCATGTCAAATTATTTCAATATTGTAATATTTAAAAATAATAAAGTAATACATTAGAATGTTCTCTTGATTTTTAAAGGTATATTTTATAGTTCAAAATGTTTACATTTATATTATGAATTAAAGATACTGAGCCTGAAGTATTGATGGTTTTTTGTTGTTCATACTATTCAGGTTGTCTCGGTAAATGCTCCTTCATGATTTAGTTAAATAAGCTGGCAGGTGTGTTCTGAAAATAAACTTGCGTCTGTTTTTTTGCGGGGGGGGGGGATCTCCTCTGCTAAGCCTGAATAACCAAAAAACACATTAAAAGAATAATTTACATGTTGGGATCATTATTTCTGATTCTAACTAATTAAGAACTATCACATAATAAGCACACTGAAAAGTAGAAATATTTAGAACCTAATATTCACTAATATGCAATTATTTACTTTCAATCCTGTTTGCAGTTAGGATCTCTTGGGTTTACTATTTATTTATTTTAATTTTTTTTTTCTTTATTGATTTTAGAGGGAGAGAGATATAGAAACATCGATGGGAGGGAACATCGATTGGCTACCTCCTGCATGCTCCCCACTGGGGATTTGGCCCACAACCTGGGCATGTGTCCTGACCGGGAATTAAACCAGTGACCTCTTGGTCAACGCTCAACCACAGGCACACCAGCTGGGCCTGGGTTCACTATTTAAAAATCCCAGTGTCTTGGCCCCAAAGTTATTTTTAACAGTTCAGACAGGCATATGGATTATTCAGGCTTCCTGCCACTATTTTTTCTCCATTCAGCAGCTTCTTTAAATTACAATTATTTATGTATGAATGTTGCGCCGTCGGTTTTGTACCTGTTTCCTCAAACTGAAAGTTATTACTATAGCCTGATCTTTGAGCTATCTTTCAGTAAGGGGATGAATTTGCATTGATTCAATGAATTCTTCAGTGTCCTTTTTTGAGAAATGTCTAAGATGAAGATAAAATCTTTAGCTGTGCAATTAAGAAACCAATAAGGCCACACAGTGGGAGTAAGACATCAGCTCTGTCCTCTAGTCGCATGAAGAAGGGCTGATAGGAAAAGTGGTACAGCGCAACATAATTCTTACGAACATATTTGTATACGTCAACAAGCTGCAAAATAGGAAAACTTTGGGAAGAGATAAACCAAAGCTCTTATATGCATAGCCAATGAACACAAATAATAATGTGGTGAAGGCAGGGGTGGGGGGATGGGAATGGGGAGGGGGATCAATGGGGGAAAAAAGAAGAGACATGTAATACTTTCAATAGTAGATAAAAATTTTTTGAAGTAGGGTAATTCTAAAAGCAGCTCAGAATTCTTTTTTTTTTTTTCCTCACCCGAGGACATTTTTCCATTTTTTGTTCAGGTAGAGTGGGAGGGAGAGAGAGGAACAGAGAGAGAGAGAGAGAAACATCGACGTGAAAGGAGCAGCTCAGAATTCTTAGATTTTTTGAAAGAAGGTAGAGAGATTGAATGAATCATATTTGAAAGTAGCTAGGTTTTCCTTAAATATTTATAATGCCCATTATCATACATTTTGAGACTGGGTGTAATACTTTTACAGATTTTAATTTGGTAATTTTCTATGAAACCACAGCTGGAGACTACATTTGAATCAGTTATTTGTTGGACCTGTAAATGAACCCTGAGGGTACAGGCGCCACCTATCATTAGCAGCCCACCAACACCTAATTGCCAACCAGAACCACTAGGGGGCAGTAATTCCTAGATAGTTTCAAATGATTAAGGACCATTCAATTCCAATCTGGAATAAAAGTTATGATACTGGTACTTCTTCACCCTTTTTAAAAAATAAATTGATTTCATTGTTATTGTTAGTAGATGGAATTTGTATAAATATACTTAAAGAATGAATTTTTTGGATAAAATTAATGCTTGTTTTTTTTTTTCTTTGAACAGGGCAATAAATGTGTTCATAAGTGCCAACCGACTAATTCATCAAACCAACTTGATACTTCAGACCTTCAAAACTGTGGCCTGAAAGTTGTATATGTTAGGAGATGTACTTCTCAGTGGCAGTATGAACTGCCTTTATCTGTAAATTTTAAAGTTTGACTGTATAAATTATCAGTCCCTCCTGCAGGGATCAATCCAGGATGTTGAATGGGATTATTGCCATCTTACACCATATTTTTGTAAAATGTAGCTTAATCATAATCTCACACTGAAGATTTTGCATCACTTTTGCTATTATCATTCTTTTAAGAATTATAAGCCAAAAGAATTTACGCCTTAATGTGTCATTATATAACATTCCTTAAAAGAATTGTAAATATTGGTGTTTGTTTCTGACATTTTAACTTGAAAGCGATATGCTGCAAGATAATGTATTTAACAATATTTGGTGGCAAATATTCAATAAATAGTTTACATCTGTTAAACATTTCTTTACTTGAAAAATGGATATATATATTCATATAAATATATATATATATATATGAATATGATCAGAAGACCAAGACTACTTGGGTTAATGTCTAAAGACCTTGTAATGGGAGCTTATTAGTAGTTTATCAAAGAATAAAGTAGCAAGAATTTTTATTTATTTTTTTGTCCTTAATCACTCTGGGCAAAAAATAGTCAATGGAAATATTTTTTTAGTTATATATAGGGTACTATTTTTTTAGCCTGTTTAAGAGACATATGAGAGAGGTGGCTATTTATAGTGTCTTCACACTGATGCCACTTTCTGAACTCTGAAAATGTAAAATTAAGTCTTTCTTGCATCCTTCCGCCCCCCCAAAATAGCCACAACTAATAATTTAAAGCTATACCAATGCTAGTTGGTTTGAAATTGTCATTAGTGTTAATGTTACATACTCTCTTTAAATATATATATAGTTTTGCTTCATCATAAAGAAGTTTTAAGGAAATTATATATCAGATATTCATGTTAAGCATTTTCATTTTTTAGTTATGATGAAATAAAGGAAAATTAGAATTTTTTAACCTTTTATAAAGGTTTTAAATGTTAAACTAAATTTCTGTTGGAAATATAATTTTTTTTGCTATAATGAATTTAGTTATTTTTAAAATTTTTCTTATTTTAAAAGAACTACTATCATTGGCAATAGAAAAGAAATAAATTACCCTGTTAGATAGATGTAAACAGAAAATATGTGGAAGGAAGCAAAAAACCAATAGACTACTGGATGAAATCTCATAATTTACAGACATTTTTCTGAATTGATTTTTTTCTTCCAAGATATATAACTATTAAATAGAATTGATTATCTTAATACTATTTATTTTTTACATAAACGATTTGCAAAATAGATATGAATATATGAAAAACATTTTTTTTTATTTTGTTTTATTTTTTGAGCAGCAGACTTGTCTAACATGAACCAGTATTTCTCCTGTTGTTGTTACCTCCTTAACAGAACACACCCGCTGCTGGCCATGCCACAACCGTGTTTCATAAGCCACCTTTTCTCTCTCTCTCCCACTATCCAGTGTCTCTGGCTTTGGTTTTCATGAAGTTTGCCTCCCAAAAGGAGACTTATTTTCAGGATAATTCAGTTTCTCAGGTAATCCTAGCGGCGCTGAAGTTGGGTCAGTGAGGAAGGGGCCAGTGTGGCCCCAGCGAGATGCTTCTCTAGAGCAGAAAGGTGGCTCCAGGAAAGGAAGTCAGGGAGACAGCACCTTCTCTGTGAAGCGCTATTCTATCCCAGGCTTATCTGTCTGCCTTGCCGTAGAGGAAACTGACGAAGAGAGCTTCGGTTACAAGAGCTGGTAGGCTGGAGCCAGGCTTTGAAGTCAGCGGTTTCTCCAGGCTCCATGCTCTTTCCACAAACTGTACTTCATTCGTTGCCAGAAATGGACTTGTTTAGAATACTAATTCCCTAACACCAAGCTGACAGGCTCTCCTTGATCCACAGGGGAGAAAAACTAGGACAATGAGAGAAATCTTTTTTATAAATCTAAATTTTATTTTAAAGGGTCGTTCTTTTATTTGGTCATCATGGCTATTTTGTAGTTGTTTAAAATGCCCCCTCCTCACACTTTCTTTAAACAAAATGATATAATCATAGATGGTAGGTTTTTTGTTTGTTTGTTTTAACGATTGTGTTTTAGTAACCTTATAGGGCAAAACATGAGATTGGCAACCCAGTATCAGTCCCTCCTAATAACTTTGTATGGAAATGCTTTTAAATTTACAGAAAATTGGCCAAAACAAGAGTAGTACAAAGAACACTTATCTTTTACCCAGATTCATCGATTACTGAGATTTTACCATTTTTAACATTTGCTTGTTTACCCTCCCTGAAGTCTCCTTGACTCTGGATAATGTCCATGGCATTGATATAACATGTTTTTGAAGAAAACAGTCTTTGGTCTTCTCTACCCCCCTTTTAAATAAAATGTTCTTCATTTTGGATTTCCTCTTTAGATTCAGGGTATGCATTCTTAGGGTACTACATTGGTGATGCTGTCATCAGGTATCACAGCTGGAGACCTACAATGACCATCTGCCCCTCATTGGTAATGTTAGTTTTGGTCACCAACCAGGTCAGGGTGTTGTTCAGTTTCTCCAATATATAGTTACTGTTTTTGCCTTGCGTATACTCAGCAATTCGTGGGAGACTCTCTTAAGTCCATGCTAACAGCAGTATTTTCCCCCAGGATTTAGCATCCATTGATGATTCTTGCTTATTCCATCTTTGGTAGTTGCAAAATGGTAATTTTCCAATTCTAGCATTTCTTCTCGTGTACCAGTTAGCACGCAGCATTCTGCTGTAAGCAGGAATGCTCCATTCTTCACAGCTATCCATGTGAATATTTATATTAACTATTGTTTGGACTCCTGGTTTTCTATTTTTACAACAGCTTGTATTTTATTACTTAGTTTGCTGCTTAAATTGTCTTAGATTTGGCTAGAAGGGGCTTCTTCAATCTGGCTCCTATTTCCTTGTGGCATCTGCTATCTTTTTTTTTTTTTTTCCCCAAGCACATTATCTTAAATAAAAGATGTTCCAGGAACTGGAATTGGCAGATTTTCCAAGAAGCCCTGGCTGCTGAGTGTGCTCATTGTTACTCGGTGTTTTGCTGCTGCTAGCTAGACCTGTTCAGCAAGCACACAGACTAGGAAATGTGCATATACACACAGATATTCATGTACACATACATTTTACATGTGCTCGTGTCCACGTTTGATTTAGAAATCATTCACACTAATACCTCCAATTCCATCCATCCTCATATTGTTCTTTTCTTGCCTTCCCCATTGATTTCTGTGTCCCTTTTTCCTCAGAATTCTGGCTCCCCAAAAAGTCCGTCAGTTTATTCACTTGTTCAGTCCTACAATACATCTTGCTTTTGCCCGGATCACTGTAAAAAAAACACACGCTTAGAAGCCTGCAAGATTGTATTCTCTCCCTATCTGTACCCTGCTCAAGACTAAGGATATATAATTACATAATATGTTCATAAATGACTTAGATTCATTCTTTTTTCTCTCTTTCACTGTGATTGTTATTTGTTTGAAATAAATTGGATTCATTTGTTTCAGTTTTCTTTCAAGTTTAAGGTACCTTCCCGCTTCTATTTCCATCCTTGGTTTAATTTTATTTTTTAAATATAAAACATTAATGCTTCTAAAAATCACAGCCATACCAGAAGGTATACTGAGAGAGGTTTCACTCATGTCTCTTCAGCCCCATCCCTCCACCCCCACCCCATGGGTATCCAACTTCACTTTTCTTTTTATAAAGAAAAGTAATAAATGTTTTTTAAAATTATTTGTATTAATTTGTTTTTGTTACAGATGTTTCTCCTTTTCCCCCCATTGACACCCTCCTCCCTATCCCCCCTGCCCCATCCTCAGCTTAGTTGTCTATGTCCATTGGTTATGCATACATGCATGTAAGTTCTGTGGTTTATCTCCCCCCTTTTTCTTACACAAAAGGTAGCATACATGTAGGGAGACCGATCCTGGTTTGCCTAGCACTACTGAACTTTCTTGGGACACAGAACTTTCAATTAAAGCTAAACCTGGGCGAGTCAGGCAAACTGGGAGGGTTGGTCATTTTTTATACATGCTTTTTTTTTTTTTTTTTTTATCCTCACCCAGGGACATTCTTTTATTTTTTGTTCAGATAGAGCAGGAGGGAGAGAGAGAAACATCGACATGAAAGGAACACATCGAGTGGCTGCCACCCACACGACCCAGCCAGGGCCGGGGACAAACTGCAATCGAGGTACATGCCCTTAGCAGGAACCGAACCTGGGTCTCTCTCGACCACAGGCCAATGCTCTAACCGCTGAGCCAAACCGGCCAGGGCTATACATGCTCTTAAAAAAATACTCTATTGTGTAACTGAAGTCTCATAAAATTAATGTATATGTCCTTTTTTTTAAAAAAAAATAACTTTATTGCCACAAAATTCATCCATTGAAAGAGTTGTGTGTCATGACCACAACAATCCAGTCTTAAAATATTTTCATTGTTCCAATTAAATTCCTCATGCCTGGTTACAGTTAAACCTTGTTCCCACCTCACCCTGGTCCTTCGCAGTCCAGGCAACCAATAGCTACTTTTTGTCTGCAGATTTTTCTTTTCTAGGTATTTCACAGAAATAGTGATATCTTTTGAGTCTGGCTTCTTTTACCCAGTATGAAGTGTTCGAAATCCATCCATGTCATTGCACTTATCAACATTTCTATCAGTATTATTGCTGAATAGTATTTCATTATTTGAACTATGCTTGTTTTGTTATCCATTTAATAGTTGATGGACATTCGGGTTGCTTCCTTTTTGGCTGTGATGCATCATGCTGCAATGAACATTCACCTGCAAGTCTATGTGGACATGGTTTTCACCTCTTGAATGGAATTGTTGGATTATATGACAAATTTATATTTAACTTTTTAAGAAACTGTTAAACTGATTTCCACGTAGCTCTATTATTTTACATTCCCACCAGCAATGTAGGAGGGTATTTGTGTCTCCATACCTTCACCAACATTTGTTAATAACTATTTTTATAGACATTCTTGTGGATACGAAGTCGTATCTCATGGTTTACATGTGCATTTTCCCTAATGATAAATGAAGTTGAGCACCTTTTCATGTGCTTATTAGCTATTTCATATATATGCTCTATGAACTTTGCATTTTTCACTAAACATCTCCAGTAATCACTCCATGTGAGTTCACAGAGATCTTTCTCATTTTTTTTTCTTTTTTTTCAGAGATGCTCAACGTGCCATGGTATGTAGGTACCATATTTTATCCTATCAATTCACTATGCTTGGGCATTTGAGTGGTGGTCAATATTTTGCAAAATTACAAATAATATTACAGTGAATGATCTTACATATGCATTTCCATTGTGTTTGATGCATAGCTTCAAAGTAGATTTCCTAGAAGTGAATTACTGAGTCAAAGCACAGCAGTGTGTGTAGTTTTATTAGATACTGCCAAATTTCTTTCCATGAAGTTTATGGCAATTTAAATTCCACCAGGAATGTGTGAGGTTGTTTTCCCAAAGTTTCACTAACAAAATATTGTCAAGCTTTCGAGTTTTTGCCAATCTGATGGGTGAGAAAGGGTATCTCATTGTAGCTTCAACTTCCATGTGTCCTACTATAACTGAAGTAAAAATCTTTCATATTTAAGGGCCATTTTATATTTTGTGATTTTGATTTTGCTATGGTTTTTATTTTACTATATAAACTTAAAAAAATTGTATGCAGACAAATTTATCAACTCCTTTATGAAACCATCAGGGCTTGGTGCTTTTTTGTGGAGTAATTCCTTGATAACTTTCTTTTATGCAAATTGGCTTTGAAAACTTTGTACGGGAGTCATTTTGCTAAACTGTACTTTTCTAAGAAAGTATCCATATCCTGTAGGTATTCAGATGTATTTCCATTGGAGTGAAATAATCTTTTATGTTTTAATTTTTTCTCTAGCAATAATAGCCATTTCTCTATTGT